ACAATTAGTCATAGCCTAGCTCAGCATTTATTCTTTTATATAAATTCGAGCAGAGCAATAATAGTTTAGTTCTTTAGTTCGCTTCACTGAGTTCACACGTTATTTATTAAGTAATAAAGTTTTTTAAAAACATAAGTTGCCTAATTTAAAACATAACTGTGTGATTATAGACTTTTTGATTTCTCCTCCCCATTTCGCAGGTGTTCGGTAATTTGATACCCCACATGTCATTTGATGTCGCAGCTGCATCACACATGTGGTTTGGTATTCTGGAGTAAAAGAGGTGAGTTATACACGTGTTTTTGAAAATGAGAGTTAAACGATGTGTAATTTGATACAGTAAACACAAGCACATGTGGGCGATCTATCGCAGCGCCATCATACCAACATGTGGTTTGCTGTTCTAGAGTAAACCAGTGATTTGCAGGTGCATTCAACATGTGTTTTTTTTTAAATGAGTGTCAAACTATGTGTATTTTGATACCATAAAAATGCATTTTGATATACTAACACAAGTAGGCACATGTGTGCGATATACTTATGTCATCGAGGATATTAATTACCTCAAAGTAATATTTGAAAATTTACCCCTACCACCACAAATATGTGAAATTTCAATTTTTTGGTTTTTGGTGTAGATCAGTAATAAAGCAGCGTTCTAAGTATATGTTTAGTTTCGGGTTTCTACATAATTTTATGAAATGTATTTTACGTGTGAAAATTGTGGTAAAACGTTCACTCGCAGCTATAACAAAATTCGCCATCAAAAAGAATCATGTAAAAATAGATTTGTAGAAAATAGTTCAGCTGCAAAAACTATTGCCATAAATTTGAACCCTTCAACGTCGAGAAATGCAGGAAATGGTCCATCTGCAAAAACTTTCGCGATAAATACGAATCCTTCAACATCGAGAAACAATATTATGTGTGCAAGTTGCAATATATCAATACCCGAGAATCAAGTTGCACGACACGAAAGGACGATTCAACATAGGAACAATGCTCTCATTCAATTATCACCAAACATCCACATTATTAGATCTGCATTTAAGTGTAGAATATGCAGCTACAGACTATATCCTATAGATAATGATTATTTGGACTATACATTGTTTTTCAATGAATTGAAAAAAAAATGTATTGGAATTGATAAATAAAGTCATAAACATCCACAGCACAATCAAAGTGAATATGGAAGTATTTGGCCTATATCTACTCCCATCGACCGAAACCATTAGCGAAAAATCTTTCAATACAACAAATGAAATTATAGATGAAGCAGCAAATCTGGAATGCATATATCAATTTTTTGTCGATAAAATGAAGACTCAGGCTTCGGAATTTGAGGAAAAGGATTCCGGTATGTTATTTATTAAGATATTAATTCTAATTGTCATATACGTTGTCTTTAATGTTGTTAAATTTTGTGCTCATATTCATTTTTTTTTTCCAGGATGGTCCTTGCAAAAAATTCTCTATCTGGAAATAAATTTCAACAAATTTAGTCCCATATTGAGAAAGGAAGCAATTATTAATGTGAAAAATGAAGATCAACATTGCTTCGCGTGGGCAATAACTTCAGCATTGTGCCCTTCAAGAACGCATCCGGATCAGCCAGTATCGTATCCACATTTTTCTACCCTTTTGAACTTAACAGGTATTGAATTTCCTATTACTTTAAAAGATATCAGCATTTTTGAATCATTGAATAATATTTCGGTGAATCTTTATGGTCTAGAAAGTAAATCTGAAAATAATAAAACCACTTATGAAGTAGTGGGACCATTACGTTATTCCGGTAAAAAATTGAATTTTCATGTAAATTTATTGATGATAAGCAAAGATTGTTCAAATGATGATAATGATCACATATGTAATTCTGGGTGTGTTAAAACACATTACTGTTGGATTAAACATTTTTCTAGATTAGTTTCAAGCCAAATTAGTTCTCATAAGCATAAAATTTACTTTTGTGACGGTTGTTTAATATATTTCCATTCTGCACAAATTTTGGCCATGCATCAGAATCACGATTGTAACCACATTTATACAAAAATGCCATCAACAGAATCAAAGCTTGATAAGTGTGGTAAATTAGTTCCGGGAAATATTTTAAAATTTAAAAATTTTGAAAAGCAGCTAAAAATTCCATTTGTGGTTTATGCTGATTTTGAATCAATTTTGAAACCCAAACATAGTACAGAACCGGACCCCACAAAATCTTATACATTACATACAGCCAAACACCAGCCGTATGCGTTCGCATATATAATTGAATGTTCTTTCGATGATTCACTAACAAAGTATGAGCTATATCGAGGCAATGATGCCGCTAAAGTGTTCGTATCTCGTCTAGAACAAGACTTGAGAGAATTGTACAATACCCATTTGAAGGATTTCAAACCAATGATTCCATTAACTGCAGCCGAAAAAGAACACCATAAAAATTGCAAAGTGTGCCACATATGTGAGCTACCGTTTGAAAAAAATGATAAAGTTCGCGACCATTGTCATTTAACTGGGAAGTACAGATCAGGTGCACACTCTAATTGTAACTTAAACTACCAGATATTGCGCAACACCTGTACACCAATTGTCTTTCATAACTTAAGCGGGTATGATTGTCACCTGTTTATTAAAGAGCTTTTCAATGAAAATGATCGAGTAGAAGTAATTGCTCAAAGTAAAGAGAAGTATATTTCATTTACGAAGAGTATTTACGTACACGATTATGTTGATAAAAACGGTAACACAAAAAAGAAATATTTAAAGTTACGTTTTATCGATAGTTTCAAATTTTTGTCGACATCTTTGGAGAACTTGGGTTCTGGCCTATCAATCGATCAGTTTAAAGAAACAAGGAAAAACTTTCCCATTGATGATGAATTTGATCTGATGAGGCAAAAGGGTGTTTTTCCATATAGTTTCATTACTGATTTCAGCAAAATGGATAACTCATGTCTACCAAGCAAGGATGAATTTTATGACAATTTAAGAGATGAACATATTAGCGATTTAGACTATGAAAGAGCTAAGCGTGTTTGGCAGGTATTTAACTGTAAAAATCTTGGAGAATATTCAGATCTGTACCTAAAATCTGATACTCTTCTGCTATGTGATGTTTTTGAAAATTTTCGAGAGAGTGCATTGACTGCATATAAGTTGGATCCAATACATTATTACACATTACCTAGCTATTCATTTGATTGTATGTTACGAATGACGAAAGTAGAATTAGAGCTATTAACGGATATTGACATGATTCACTTTTTTAAATCTGGAATACGAGGTGGGATAAGTCAATGTACTGAGAGGAAACATATTGCTAATAATAAATACCTCCCGAATTTTAATGAAAAAGAGCCTTCTTCATACATAATGTATTTAGATGCTACTAATTTGTATGGGCATAGTATGTCACAGCCGCTACCCACCGGGGGGTTTCAATGATTGAGCGAGCGGGAAAAAAATGATCTCGATTTGATGAGTATCAAAGAGGACAACCCGGAAGGTTTTGTTTTTGAAGTTGATATCCACTACCCAGAAAATCTTCATGATTTACACTCAGATATACCATTTTTGGCTGAGAAATTAGTTCCACCAACAGAAAACTCGAAATTACCGAAACTAACACCGAATTTAAATGATAAAAGAAAATATGTGGTACACTATCGAACACTTCAGCAGGCTGTTCAAAATGGTCTGAGGATAATGCAAACACATAGAGTATTAAAATTTAAACAATCGACATGGTTGAAGAAATATATTGATTTTAATACGGTACTCAGAAATAAAGCTGTAACCAAAAATGGAAAAAATATGTTCAAACTCCTAATTAATGCAATTTTCGGAAAGACAATGGAGAATGTAGAAAATCATACTGACATCAAATTGGTCACGCATTGGTGTAATAACAGACGGAGATTGGGGGCTAGAAATTTAATAGCTCGACCCAATTTTAAAACCAGTTCCATTTTTACGGAAAATCTAGTAGCAATTCATATGGGTCGATTGAAATTAACGTATGATAAGCCAATATACGTAGGTTTTTGTATATTAGATATGTCTAAAACTGTAATTTACGATTTTTTCTACAACTTTATTAAATCACAGTTTGGTGATGATGCTTCGTTACTTTACACAGATACTGATTCACTGATTTTGAAAGTATTTACAGATGATTTTTATCGGGTTATTGCAGAAAATCCTGATAAATTTGATACCGCAAATTATTCAGATATAAATTGCTATAATATTAAAAAAAATCTGTCGGTAGTGGGTAGAATGAAAGATGAGTTTGCAGGAGATCCGATAATGGCGCGAAAAGTTACTATGTACAGTCGATAAATGATGAAATGAAAAAAGCGAAAGGTATAAAAAAATCTGTGATAGAAAAAGAGTTGAACCTTGAAGATTATAGAAAAATAGTAGATCGGGGTGGACTGATATTTAGAAAAATGAAAACTTTTAAAAGCGAATTACATGACATTTATACAACAATAGTTAATAAAGTAGCGCTTTCGCATAGCGATGATAAGCGATATCTAATTCCCAACAGCACCAAGCTTGGGGTCATAGAGATATTGAATTTCATCAAACAGATCCCGATAAGAATTTAAAATTGTTAATCGATGCTGCCCAAATTTTGATAGATGGTGATATGAATGGATTCATTTAATTTAATTTAAGAATGATTTTAAATATGGTACTGTTTTGTAGTTCACATTTTTTTTTAGTTCACAATTCCGATACATTGTACATGTCTATGGAAATAAACCATTTAAATTTGAGTTTTTTTAGAAAATTGTGTCAAATTAATTTATATTTTAAGGTGTTAAGGTGTTATTGATAATTTTATATATTTAAAATAAAGTTTTGTTTTTTCCTTATATTATCACACAAAAATATGGTATTGCTTTGTATTTTTTTTCAGAAAAATTATGTAAAATTAATTTATATTTCAAATGTGTTTGGTTGTTATTGATAATTTCATATATCTAAAATAAAGTTTTGCTTTATAAATATGTATGATTTTGATTTTTATTACTATAAAACCTTTTTCCACACCACCCAGAACGAGGTAAGGTCAAGGCGCGTTTTTTTTTTTCATAATGAGGTATCCCCAATGTAGGCCTAATCCTCATAAGTTTATTTTTTATTCCTCAAATTTCAAATTTTTAGACTCGTAAAACAATAGGAGATTGAGTGCTTCTCTATCTTCACGCAACCTACACATCATACCATTTATTTTGCTAGATAATCGTTCGCCGCAAAGAAAAAGGTTCAATTCTTGGATGGTCTCTTTGATGTTATCAACTATCAAATCAATTGTATCAGATAAATGTGGAAAATGATACTTTATCCGCAAATAATCTTCTATGCGGGCACTACATTTTTTAATTGCATTCCTGAAATCACACATCATGAAATGGAGCTGATAGTGCTCGGAGGAAAACACAACTTTCGTGTTGAGAAAATATAATAAATGGTATCTTTTCACGTGGTCTCTTGGTCGCATTGTTTCTTATAATATCTCAAAAAGACTACCTACTCTGAGAAAAGTAATGAACGATCAAAGAGCACATGGCCATAAAATAATCTGTATATTTTTCAAGAAAAAAAAGAAATGTGATCCATTCAATAATAGCTATCATAGGGGCTGTTTCATCTGTATATTTTCAAAAAAAACATGTGATCTATTCATCAATAACTGTTACAGGGGCTCATCCATATGGTATCGTCGAATACAGCAGACTTTGAGAAAATAATTGGGTTGTCAGATGTTGTTCCAAATTTATAACGGTTTTTTTTTTTCCTAGAAAACTCCTCTCGGATATTTTTGAAAATTTGGGTGACAAAATCGTTAAAGGCCACCCATGAACATAGCTTTTTTCTGTTGATGATCCAATTTCAATCTCGACCTAATAATTTTATCATTGGTGAAGGCGTGACCTACTGACAGAGTACGAAAATAATAGAAAAAAATTGAAAAAACACATTTCGAGAAACTGTAACGCTCTGAAACTTGATTGGGACGATAACTAGAACCATTGCGAACATTCCCACCAAAGGACAACCCCTTACCTGCCGTCGGAGTGTGTTAAAAACTACCCTTAGTACGAAAATAATAGAAAAAAATTGGAAAAACACATTTCGAGAAACTGTAACGCTCTGAAATTTGATTGGGACGATAACTAGAACCATTTCGAACATTCCCATCAAAGGACAACCCCTTACCTGCCGTCGGAGTGTGTAAAAAAATAATAGAAAAAAATTGGAAAAACACATTTCGAGAAACTGTAACGCTCTGAAACTTGATTGGGACGATAACTAGAACCATTTCGAACATTCCCACCAAAGGACAACCCCTTACCTGCCGTCAGAGTGTGATAAAAACTACCCTTAGTACGAAAATAATAGAAAAAAATTGGAAAAACACATTTCGAGAAACTGTAACGCTCTGAAACTTGATTGGGACGATAACTAGAACCATTTCGAACATTCCCACCAAAGGACAACCCCTTACCTGCCGTCAGAGTGTGTTAAAAACTACCCTTAGTACGAAAATAATAGAAAAAAATTGGAAAAACACGTTTCGAGAAACTGTAACGCTCTGAAATTTGATTGGGACGATAACTAGAACCATTTCGAACATTCCCACCAAAGGACAACCCCTTACCTGCCGTCGGAGTGTGTTAAAAACTACCCTTAGTACGAAAATAATAGAAAAAAATTGAAAAAACACATTTCGAGAAACTGTAACGCTCTGAAACTTGATTGGGACGATAACTAGAACCATTTCAAATATTCCCTCCAAAGGACAACCCCTTACCTGCCGTGGGAGTCTGTTAAAAACTACCCTTAGTATGAAAATAATTGAAAAAACGGTGGGGGGGGGCTGAGTTTCAAGTTGGCCTAGCTATAGCATTTTTTGCATAGGCGCCGGAACCATGGGGGCAATGGGGGCTTGAGCCCCCATAGTAAATTTGCTATGGGGGCAGAGCCCCCATAGTGATTTTGGTTTGTATGTAGTGAGTTTACTGTTTAGTGGGTAGGACGTAGATACAAAAATATTAAATTCCTAATTACCTACTTTAACGAAGAATTTGAATAGGGAGATTTTGGACCAGTGAAAACAAACCTATTATCATTACTGCGCGTCGTGGTTTCTTTAAAATACTGTTCGCAATATTTGTGATCATTGGATAAAAAAATATTAGGTTCGAACTCTTCAAGTAGCCAGAATTTTTGTAATGAATCGTGCAAAGCTTTGTTTGAAATTTTTGAAGTGTTGCATACGGTTTTTCGATATCGTTCGTGAATGTTTAAAGGACCGACTAATACCCATCCTAAAGATGTTTCTTGTAGAATTGGAAGATTAGTACCTAACTTTATTTTGCCTGATTGCAACAAGTCATAAAAAACTTCTGATCCGAGCAATAAGTCTATTTGTTTGGGAACGTTAAACTTTTCATCTGCGAGACAAATGTCTTTGGGAACGTTAATCAATGATTTTTTGAATTCTACGATAGGGAGTTTTTCTGTTATTATTGGCAATACTAAAAACGTTAAATTTCTTGTGAAATTTCCAAATCACGATTTTATACATGCAAAAGTCTTACTGTTGATTTTTGTTTGAATCTGATTGATGCCTGAAAGGGGAACATTGAAATCTTCGCATTTCAATTTTAATTTATTTATCAAAGACTGGCTAATCAGATTAGATTGGCTTCCTGAGTCGAGTAAAGCATGACATTTAGTCCAATTTCCATAAGAATCTTTTATTAAAATAGTTGCGGTAGACAATATTACCTGACTTTCTGAGAAAAGACTATACGTGCTTGAATTACTTTCAATTAATTGACATTTTTCGCTCCCGCCACCTATTTCCAATAATGGGCTCTTTCACTAATTTTTGAAATTGGCATATTTGGATAAAGCAACTAAAAACAGAATTTTCTGTATTTTTACTTTTGAAAAATTCATAGTCCTTCTTGAGAAAACAGAAAAGAAAGAAATACCTCCAAATAAAAACCCAGAATTTATTTCTATGACGTCGCAGCTCGCTATTTGACCGTGTTGCCACTAATTGTCAACATTGAAAATTTGTAATAGATTTAATTCTGAAATGTTCGCAAAATATCATGAAAAGTAGTTAAATTAATCACTTATGGATTCAAGATTTTATAACTTTTTTATTGAAATTATGTTTAAACACAATTTAATACAATTTTTTATGTTTAGTTTTATTTTATTTTTTTACGTTGCACTACATCTAGTCACCACCGACAACAGCGCATTCGAACCTTTACCTGCTTTTACTACAGGGTACACAGCCGAGGCGGTAAGCTCCTTTGTAACAACAAGCGAAATGAAAAATATTTATGTGACGTCAGCAAATCGGCGCGTTTTAATTTAATTTGAATTTAGCCAATTTGAAATGCCTGTAAAAAACCTATTTAACCTTGTAGAACTTTTTTTTTTTGGTATATATGCCTAAAATAGCCCCTCCTTTGGGATTTTATACTCAAATTACGTATTCAAATTTTAGTGAAAGACCCCATTGCTCATTATCCATTTCTGTGCTAGTTACACACATCGTAGCCGTAGGCCTGGTGGTAACATTACCTATCTGCTGCCTTTCTCCGCTACCTGCATTTGCCGTCGGCTCTAGCGCTCCTGAAAACGACGCCGAAGAAGGCCCCGCGCGAGCCCTATCTTCCCCCAATGATGTAAAATTTACAGCTGAAGGCGAACGGTGGAATTGTCGTGCAGCATTGTTGTACGTTTGTGACTGATTAGAATAATTATTATTTCTTGGATTATCATTATTTTGAGAATAGTTATTTCTAGAATAATTGCTGGAATTTGAAGCATTATTTTGATTAGAATACGAGTTAGGAGATCGATCTACGTGTAGGCAAGTATTATGCTTGAGGTTGCATTTTTTGCACCCACTTGACATGCATTCTGATTTAATGTGGCCTGACCTAAGACAATTTCCGCAAAGTTTATGATTTCGAATTTCATTATATTTTTCAGCAATAGACAAACTATTGAATTTCGGGCAATGATAGATAAAATGATTCTGATTGCACACGTGACAATTATTACTGGCTTCTCTTCCGCGGTTGTCCATTACTGGAAACGAAAGTCTACGAGGATTTGACATTTCTCTATTCGCGTTTTTTAAGTGATAACCTCTATCAGAGTTCTTTTCAAAATGCGTGTTTTTATTTGAACCTTGTTTTACAAAATCTCGATTTACTGCTTCAAGCGCAAAGCATTTCTTTGTTAAATAGTCTGTTAAATCTGTAAGAGTGGGTAAATTATTGCCATTTTGCTTATTTTCCCATTCCCTACGAGTCCTTTCATCTAACTTTTGCAAAATCAATAGAATCAACAAGGTGTCCCAATGAGCAACTGGCAAATTTAATTTCTCGAGCGCAGCTATATGCTGATGAACAGCAGGGTCGGATTAAGGTCTTTTGGGGCCCGGGGCTATTTTCACAAAAGGGGCCCCCCAGGTCCCTGAAATAAATTCAAACGTCACTCAAACAAAACTTATTTACCTTGCAGGTGCATTTATTACAGTGACCAATGAACTATAGCTAAAAACTGGAATGCGCACACATTGCCATATCTGCCAAAAAATGTAGCCATGAAAGATAGATACCACAAAGGGGAATGTTGTTTTTTTCTGTTGCTTGCTGACATATGACGTTTTCGAAAGTTTTGTCATATTTCCCGTCACAGGTTTCATCAATAGACCTATCTATTTTACCAGACAAAGAGGTAATAATACGAAAACTTCATTAAATAAAAAAAAAAACAGAACACTCATTGCGCAAAACGAGGCAAAACGTACCAAATTATGTTAGACTTACGTATAGCAATCCGTCCTTCTTATTTGCACAGGATAAAAAGGAAAGGAGAAAAACCGCGTGTTGTGCAGTGTACAGTGACTCTATAACCCACAGTGGCGACAATTGCTATCTCATTTTTGATTGGTTCTAAAATCCCATATATTTACATTGAAAACACCGCCATCTTGTTCCCAACCCCTTGTTCCTTTTAAATATGAATATATGGGATTTAGGTGAACATCCATCATAAATCATGGAAAACAACGTATTTGATGGACATAATAATGGTCATCAAATACGTCGATTTCAATTTTTTATGATAGATGTCCATTTAAATCCTATATATTAATATTTAAAAGTAACAAGAGGTTGGGAACAAGATGGCGGCAGGACCTCTTATGTCGCCACTGTATGTAAAGGTTTATTTAGCCACTGTAGTGCAGTGTATTTGTCAATGAAAATGTCAAACAACTTTTGAATGACACTTGTCAAGTTGAATATCAACTTTAGATTTATTCTTGTCAGACTACGTGCAATGAACAAGGATAAAGAGATGCCCAGCGTGCAAAACGATCACCTCAAACCTGTATTAGCTGGCCAATAAAAATAAATTGCCTCGTGTTGCGCGCGCATACCAGTTAAAAATAGATAG